GATTCAGCTTCCTTTCATGTACCAGCAAGGAACTTTCAAGTTCTTCAAGTGACATTTCATCAAGATCATTTGTCTCCTCAATAGCACAGACAACAAAATTATATTTTGGTGTCATTGAACGTAGTATCTTCTCAACAACAGTTACATCTTGTGTCTTATCACCATGGGTCCTCAATTTGTTGACAATTGCCATTGTCCTAGAGAAATAGTTAGTAACAGTCTCACCCTTTTTCATTCGAAGTATTTCAAACTCCGAACGAAGTGCTTGAAGCTACTGCCTCTTTGTTTTTGTGGTTCCTTGGTATTTTTTCTTCATTGAATCCCAAATTTGCTTGGAGGTATCTTTGCAAAGAATAGTCTCCAAGATTGTCTGATCAATTGCTTGAAAGAGATAATTTTTGGCTTTGAGATCCTTCAATTTTAAAGCCTCCAACTCTGCCTTCTGAGCTTCTGACATCCTAGTAGTTGGTTCTGCTGCTCTAGACTCAACCACATCCTAATACTCTTTGGACCTCAAGAAATTCTCCATCAGCATGCTCCAATGATCATAGTGACCATCAAAATGAGGAATTGCTGGCTGCACAAAGGTTTCAGATGCCATTAGCTGCTGTGTTTGGTCCCCTCAATGTACCAAGCTTTGATACCAAATGTAGAGACAACAGAGTTGAACAAAAACTTTAAGCTGAATGTTCTTTGAGGAATTAAATCAAACACCTGCTGTGCATAAACAATTTTAGCAAGTGAAAGAAATTGAAAGACAGTAAACTCAAGCCAATTTGGAAGAAGAAAAAAATACTTCTGAATTTTCACATTCAACAGATAAAAGACACATACAAATAATCAGAACTGTGCAATTGAAATTAACGATAAAATAGCACCACTAAGCCACTAAAGCCACTAAACTACAAATAAGATATGCACTGCTAAAAATAAGAAACTCAACTGCACGTACCCAACAAATTCCTAAAGAATAGGACAATAAAAACAGATAATGAAAGACTTATTCAACATGCTTTAGAGGGTAAGACAGACTTTTATGGGGTCAGTCACCAGTATGAGAGTGGGGTTTATATGTGCAATTGAACCATGATAAGATAGTTATTGCTTACTAATTGTGTTTCTTTAACCATCCTTTTGTTTTGAAGGGGGCACATAGTTTGGTTGCTTTTTGTAGGCCTTTTTTGTATTGATTGACCTTGTAATATAGTTCGCGTTAGTTGAGTTTGTGTATTCCTTGTTAACTATTGATTTTCATTTGTGGATAATGAATTTTGTTCTCTTTCTTTTTATATGCATGTATATTTTTCTTCTTCCTAACCATGATCAGATAAATATGATGACTCCTTGTGTTCCATTAAACGGTAAAGCGTGACTTTGTTTTAGCAATATTGATATTAATCCCTTGTTCTGGTTCTTTTCTTTATATAAGAATTTTCTAATCTGGACTGCTTGGGGTAATTACTTTTGAAGGTTTATGAGTGTCGGAAATTTATAGTTTGATGCAGTTAGGTTCAAACCATGCTCAGTAGGGATATAATGACAATCTGTGTTGCGAGTGCCATTTATTTCAAATATATGCAAGATAATGCAACTGATGAACCTTATTGACCGAAATTTGGGGTATATTTCGGTCATGATGTGTATGGAAGCAGTAACATAAAGGGGAAATAAGTTTAGAAGTTACTGCTCCTGGAGACTAAATCCTCAGACAAAAGGTCTAAAACACTTTCTTCAATGTCTCTATATTCAAAATACCTAGAGAAGTACATATCCATCTGTATCCTTTTGCTGGGATGTTGTGGAAGGATTGTTCAGTGCAGAATCCAACTTGATTTCTAAAAAGCTTTCGACTTTACATTTCATATAACTGAAAAAGAAAAGGTAGATGATTTTATTTGCAATTACTTCTGCACCTGCTGTGAAATACTGAGATTTTGCTTAATGCTGATGGAATGATAAACTTTTTGATAAAATAGAAGAACTAGTTGCGATGAGTTGAGAATAAGTCATGTATCTGTTTTTGTTTGGATTGCATTTATTGTTAGATAAACTCTTGACGACGCATTTGCATAGATGAAGAGAGTAGATGGGGATGCCTCAAGGGAGTGTCTCAATTAATAAGAGCTTGAGATCCCAAATTGGGAGTTGTAGAATGGGATAGTCTATCCCTGGTTTTTTTTTTTTACCAGGAAGCATGGCTTGGTTTTCATTCTTGCTGAGGTTAATTCTACTTGGAAATCTTTATTACCATGGGATCTGCTTTGTTCCTTAACTTTTTTAATGATATTTATTTATTTTTTTTATAAAAAATACAGAGGCTAGTTAGTGATAACTTATTATTTAGATCTTAGAGATTTCTTGAGACCTTGGTTGTGATCAAGATTGGTTTTGAGCAGGCATCTTTTTTCTTATCTGCTACTGATCATGTAGAAGCTTTACATTTTTCATTGTAAATATTGCAAGGTGGGGTTCATGGTCATCTTTGTTGTTTTGCATTCATTTTAAACTTTTTTAACTGATTCTGTCATCCTGGAAAAAAAAATTTTCATTAATTTTTCAAGTACGCATTTTGTTTTTCTTTATTTACATTTTGGACCTGTTCAATCTTAAAATTGCTTATCTCCCGAAAAGACAACAATCCTCAATGCAAGTTAGGAGCGCTCCACAATTTTAGATAGTCTCGGATTTCTTTGTTCTTTATTCTTTCATTTAGAAAAAAAAAAAAGAAAAAAAAAGCTGTGTTAAAATATATGCTTGAAAATCTATGATTATTATGGTTAATGACTTAAATAGTTTAGTAATAATCTATTTTTGTTAAAAATAAAAAGTTTTAAATTCAAGTTGTATAATATATGAGTGAAGTTAGAAGGTGAGAAAAAACTACTTCTATTGTGTAATCAGTAAAAAAAAAAAAAAACTATGATTATTGTTTCTTTAAAAATCCTCAGCTGACCTTTACCATGTGAGTTGGATGTTAGGCGTGCCACTTGCTTTGTCTAAAAACAAGAAAATAGAATTTTCCAGACGACCCTTCTCCTTTCCAGCTGTCGACCTCTAATAGGATGGTTGGAAAGAACGTCTGTGAAATGAATTGCGCCCCAGACGATGTTGCAAAATAGAGGGTAGAGTTTTGCAAAATGGGTTACTAATTGCCTTGGAAACCTCTAAGGACTTCACAACCAAACAAGTGTAAATAAAAACTACAAATCCTAAAATAAATGCAATATCCTAAATCAATTAAACTAACATGAAGTAAATAACAGAAAATAACATGCCAAAAAGATTAAATTCGCAGACAACAGAAAAAGTAAAATAACAGACAATGATTTCTACAACGCAGCCCATAATGATAATTAAAATTGAAGAAGAAACTATGAAATGATTAAAGTCTGAAAACTTATAAAATCAAATCTGGAAATTGAAATTAAATAAACTGAATGTCTGGATATTGTGCAGAAACAAAAGAACAAAAGTAGAAAACATTCAACCTATTTACATGAACGAATAACATAATTAAATCCATAAAAAGAAGAAGAACTAATCGAATCAAAAGGGCAAACCTGTTTTGAAGGCTAAGTTGCTTTCAAATACTTAAAAATAAATCTAAACTGAAATTTGCGGAAGGAAATATGAACAAAGATGAACAAACCTAGACTAAGGCTATGAACTAATCTAGAAAATTTGGGAAATCTAGAAACTATTGCTGAAATCTGGAAAATGTAGTCGGAAAGTTGAAAAACATGCTCTGGGCAGTCTGTGTGTGTGTTGGGCTGGCCTTGAACTGTTCTCTTCTCTCTGTTTTTGTTCCCTTCGATGCTGGTAACCTCCTCCATGATCTTCTCCATGATCTTCGGCACTGTTCCTCCATTTTTGGCACTGTTCCTCCATGATTTGGTAATGGGATTGCAGGTCTGGCAGTTATTTAATAGTTATCCGATTTTTATTTAACCTTATCTACAACAACCTTAAAGATAACTACCTAAAAATCCTCAATTTCCCATTTTAAATCAAACTCAAACTACCAGATCCAATCTTATCTTCTACCACCTAAGATCCAACTTTCTTGAAAATCCGTCTGGGCCATTAAATTGTAAGCCAGCCCAACCCAAATCCAGCCTATTGATTTTCTTGATGATTGGGCTTTATCTTGACACGTGACCTTACCCTATTGGTTTATTTTAGGTGTAAACAATTATTATGAGATTAAAGTCAGGATTCAAGTTCTGAAAGAACCAAGCCCTG